AAAGGAGGCGTCTGAACACCAAATGAACGTTGAGCGTGCCCAAAATGGTCCGTTGTCACATGCGGTGATCTGGACTGGACTGGCATCGTCCAATAGTGCTAGACTTGGGGGGGGGGAAGGAAGAGTGACCGCTGGCGTGGAGATGAGCTAGGCAGGTCACCTTATGGTCCGGGTACGTATTCGAATTCTAATAGCAGTCTGAGTGGATTCGAATGAATTTCGCATTTTAAAAACGATTGCCCAATATAGGACACTCTCCGCATTCCTTTTCCGCTGTATGCCCTCCCTCTTTATTTGTCTGATCTCTCATGGTAAATTTTGCTGTTTCTCGCGATCGGCGCAGTGCAATCACGATAATCGCACCAAACTACAATTTTGACAGAAAATATTGCGGCGCTCCACGCGCAGAAAAATTGAAGGGAATCGCTCTACAATGATCTGAAACCGTTTAGGAAAACCCTCCTCGAGGTTTTTCAAAGCATGCCGGATACGACTTTTATTTGGAAGTACGAAGAAGAAGATTCAAAATTGGTAGCTCACCTCAAAAACGTCCACCTCAGCTCGTGGGTACCTCAAAAAGCTTTACTTGGCAAGTATTTAAAGTTACCAATAAACAGGCATACAGGAGAAATAACTCTTTCAGCCGATCCACGCCTTAGTGTTTTCGTAACTCATGGCGGGCTAGGCAGCACGACGGAACTTGCTCACATGGGAAAACCAGCCTTGCTAGTGGGTTTCTTGACGAAATTCCATGCAGGTTCCTACCTACATATGTACATACGACCCTGTCTCCATACAACTACCCTTCTCTAATGCTTTAAGATTCCTCTCTTTTCTGATCAAACCCGGAATGCACATATGTTAGTAAGGCATGGAGGAGGTATTGTTTTGAACAAGAATGATCTGGAGAATGCAGGAAAAGTAACAGCTTCTCTGAAAAGTATCCTCAGTGACGCCAGGTATGCTCTCACTGGAAACGAAAAGATTGAAGGTACTATCAACTTAAATCTAGGAATTTCAGCTACGCACAAAATGCCAAACGATTGGCTGCAATGCTCCTAAACCAACCAATAAGCGCAAAACAACTTTTCATCCGACACAGTGAATTTGCTGGCAGGTGAGGAAAGCTAAATAGGTACATGTAGGCAAGTTCAGTAGTGCAATAATTTGCTTCTAGTCCCAAAATGGTTTTTCTTGTTGGGCGTGAATAGATCACACTCCCCAGGTCGGTCGGCTACCGTATTCTTTGCCCACATTAGAAGTTTCCTTCTGTGCCTATAAATAAAGGAAGTGAACGGTTGTTAGGTGCGAGCTCTGAACCTCCCTGCTCTACAAATTAAATGGCCTGTCTTCGATTTTAACTTATTTCGATATTCATTACACCATGACTCATGCTTTTTACAATGGAGCAACTCCGTCAAGAGCCGCTGCAGTGGCCTGGTTCGATTGCTTGAGGGACTCAGAATGGATTTAAACGGTGCATGCCATGCAGTCAATTCTAGGCTTTGAGCGTCACATATCCATAACCCATCCTGTTCGCGAGGAGATCCACTTGAGTCCGGTACACTTCAGCTATCGCTATTTCTTGGTTCAGCGATTTCAGATTTGGACGCCTACCAAATCTCGATCCTTACGGACGACAGCTGTCTTTCTTCCAGTATTACCTCATTGTTTTATTGCTTACAGTCCTTCTTAATGTTAGCATTTTTGTGTTGTTAAAGCGCTGCAGAGGATATTTTGCTCTGTCATGCGTCTAGACCGAAGGAAGAGTAATTTCCATTGGTGCCTCAACATGGTATGTACATGTTTTGTACATCCTGTTTGAATGAATCACTACATTTTTACATTTACATTTATGTATATTTGACTATACTTTGATCTTTGATGTCTCAGAATGGTCTCTCAGCAAATGCGGCATTCGACTTACACTTGTACTGAGAAGGCCTGCTGTGTTTAAGGGCGTGCTTCACATTACACAGAGCTCTGTGCTTTGCAGTTAAAGGGAGATGAGTTGAATGGCCTAGAAAGCGAATTTTCGTACTTAGTCGGTGCAAACGTTTTAAAATAGCAGCAAATTACGTACAGCGCACTCGCACATCGGAAATGCAGAGCGTTGAGCTACTTTTTGTCTTGCTACTTTCTGCTTCTTTACCATACTCCTGATAGTCACCACAAGTCATACTTGTAGATGCTCTGAAGCGGATTTACTTACAATCGATACACTCAAAGTGTTCTATTCGTATACTGTCATAGCTGAGCTCAAAACCAGGAATAGCAGTCTCAGAATCATAGTGATCTTTATGCCAAGGTTGAAAAATCGCAAGTTCTAGATGTAGTGAAAGCAAAAAAGCAGTTGGAAATGACGGAAATTCAGTACTCAATGTTTGTATGGTATTATTACCAGGTCAGTCCGAATCCCGGCGTCGGTTTCATTCTTACTAACTTTTCTCCTCAACTCATTACTGAGAATTAGTGCCGGCACCTTCTTCACGAAAGCCGGTTTTAGCAAGCCGTTGCTCTCTGTACAGTACTCATTATAATATTATACTTGAACTTTACACATAACTCCGACTACGAATGTGATCTAGAAATTTGACTCGCAGACCCCATACATGGTAAGCAGACTAAGGAGAAGTAAGAAGACTGCCACCAGAGCCGAGCTTACCTCACGGAGTCCGTAACGTGAATGTCGTGTGTGACTCACCGGAAGGGAAAAGAGATGTAGGTCATTGTTTATTCTCGAGCAGAAGCCAGTGAGGCACAGAGCGACGTGTCTTGTGCTGGTAGGTAGGTAAAGAGTAGGGGCCCAAATAAGCTCCCACTCTCGTGCTCAGTATGTGTTAAATGGCCTAAAGGTTTGACAGGTCTTTTCCTTTCACTATTCGTTTCTTCAGCCATACAATATATTACCATACAATTATTATCTTTATTGGAGCAGCTTTATACATACACGTGACACTGTAACAAAGCTCATTCTTGCTTACTTTTAGCTCTGACTGAGCATAGCGTTCTGAAAATCTTAACTACAACAACAATACTTACAATCGCAGCAGCAAAGACAACAAGCAAGAGATCAATCAGGTAATATTGCAGGAAAGAAAGTTGTCGCCCATAAGGGTCTAGATTTGGCAGACGTCCGAATCTGAAGCAAAATAACGGTATGACTGGGAAGCCTTGTAATTCGTTACATATTCATTCCTAATAATCATAGTATGCCTTCACGATACTGTTGATTCACTCTGTAAAATTGCTTACTGATAGGCTGCTCCCTAAACTCTAAGGACATTGTTAAAATTTAGAACCTATTAATGCGGGTGCCTTGTGCTGCTCTGCTGACTTTATTTTGTTGTTATGGAAGCATTGCAGTGGTCAGTGGCGGCAGTCACGCAAGATAGACAATCTACACAGAGGAAGGGAGTACCCATTGGACCCTTCGAAACAACTAACCAGTACCATAAGAGATGCTTGTCTGGTCTTCTTCTTCTTTCTAGTGTCAGTCCCGCTCCAGTCCGCTGTTCTTGTTAAAAGTCGCCCCTTGCTTGCATCTTCTGCCGCTGCGTTCACTTCAGTGAGATCCTTCTTGATGACGTCCCTGCATCTTTTCATTGGGACTTTTCGTGGTCGCTTGACCTGTACTTCTCATTTCAACGCCTTCGATGTTGGGTGGTCTTCAGGCCTCCCCAGTACATGCCCATACCATCGCAGTCGCTGCTCTCGTGCCTTCAGCTGGATCGGAGCCGTCTGTGTGACCGCTCTGACGTCCTCGTTTCTGACTCTGTCGAGTCGTGTCCAACCGCAGGCCCATCTCAGCATCCTCATTTCAGCTGAGTGGAGCTGCCTTTCATGGTTCTTGCAGATGGGCCAGCATTCACTGCCGTAGAGCATTGTAGGCCTTACCACCGCCCGGTACACCTTGCCCTTGAGCATTCTCGAGCACGGTCGCAGAGGATGTCCTGTGGACGAAGCGGAGAAGTTGATCCGGTAGATCGACATAATACACTGGCGACATCCCACCACACGTAGCCCAAGAAGGTACCATTAATTGTATGGTGGTTGTGAATAATTTCGACCATTTTGGTGCGTTACTGGGTGTCTTTTACCGACGTCACAAGAAAGTTGTTTTCTGAGGTGAAAAAGCAAATTTGTGGAAATCTAGGACTGTGCTATGTATGCCTATGCTCGATTGTATTTATGCGGCCTGACAGTATGAGATCGAAATGGAATCTCTGGAATATTTAGAGCGAAGATATGATGTTTCACAAGATTGCTGATGCTTTTAGACTTCCAGCGTCGGCAGAGCGCAAGTATTTATGAATGGTTCGCGATTCATGTATAAGCACCACCATAGTTCGCGTAAAGCGTAACTAGCTACTGCGCTAGGTGCTATACCTCTTAACATCCCCTCGCTTCACTGCAAACGTCCTGGACTTCCCACGTGGCAGCCAGGCTTGAAGTCATCACTGTGTTAGCAGTGGAAGAACGTCCGTGGCTTCTGAAACTATAACCAGCTAGGCACTAGCAATCGTTGAAATTCACTGTATTCTCAGCTACGATGGATATCGGAATGAAACTGGAAAGAGTCCAGTTTGCCAAGCGACATGGCGAACGGGGATGTTTCTACACTGCGAAGCATAATCATAGTTCCACCCATGAATCTCACAAAATCCTGTCTTACACGAAGTTTTCCAAAATGCCCCCATACAAAAAATGTGGTAATTACCAATACCAATTCGCATGCCAACAACAAACACTAACTTGAAAAAACAATTTTTTTCGTCAATTTTTTCAAAAATGGTCGTTCTGACAACGCAGCAAAATATAGTTCCACCGAACAAATCGAATATTCCAACAACAAGTGTACAATAAAATGAATAAATTTTGATCCAGTAATCTATTGGAACTCTATTTCTCCAATTAAGTTGGAAAATACGGTTGCCCATGTTCGATTAGAGATTTTAATAGGCTTTCGGCCGACTGCCCCAATGATTACTCCCTAAGCTCACGGACATTGTGGAATTGTGCATTACTCTCATGGATCATACGCACCATGAAGCCCCTCACATCCTCGATTGGGTTTAGTCGGGGCTACTCGCTGGCCAGGGCAAAAGAGCGGTTTGGTGACAACTGAATCACGCTCGAGTGCTTCGACTGTCATGAACTGGTGCATTATCTTGCATGAAAACAGGACTTTCTTGCTGATTTCTACGCCAGAAAGCAAGGAGACGTCGTCGCATGACTTTTAGATGACGGAAGAAATCATTTCTTTTTTCATACGGAGCACAGTTTCAGACGTTCCATTGATGCGATGGCAGGCCAGACCATGAGACCACATCCACTGAAGTTCCGCCCGGAAAAATGAAACTTGTCTTTCCTCAGGTCGTGCCAGCGGAATCGGTTTTCGTCGGAGCCGTCGCAGTTGAATTTTTTCTCATCAGAAAACACGACCGCGAGAAAAAAAACTGAAAAAACAACACAGACAAGCAGTAGGGCACCGCAGCCAAAAGCTAACCTCACTCCATTGGGTTCGGCAACATCTTCGAGCAAAGCCAATTAGGTTTTCGCGATGGTTTTTCGTTAGAAACAGTACGTAACTCATATTCCCCCTATGGGTGAACTCGGGAGTTTTTCAAGAGACGCCTAACAGTATCCTCCGAGACATTAACCTGCGAAGATGACTTGATTTCCCGACACGACACTGCAGAGTTGGATGCTTTCCTAAGGATACGGCGGTTATTCCGATCGGGCAGCAAAGGAGGATGTCCAGAGCTCTTCTCAGCTCAATATGCTGTAGGTCCCTTGGAAAAAATTGTTGATAGAATGATGAGTGCGGCCCGAATCCCGAGCGATCGACGCTTCACCAGTTTTTGAGTCTTCTTTGCGATAATCTGTCCTTTTTCGAGGTCCATTAATGAAGTTCCACTTGCCATAGCCTAGAAGAGGCAAGAAGTCATAATGATGAGAAGTTTCACCGAACAAAAATGAGATGCAGCCGGAAAATATGCGGTGGAACTATACTTTTGCTGCGTTGTCAGAACGACCATTTTTGAAAAAATTGACGAAAAAAAATTGTTTTTTCAAGCTAGAGTTTGGTGTTGGCATGCGAATTGGTATTGGTAATTACCACATTTTCTGTATGGGGGCATTTTTGAAAACGTCGTGTAAGACGGGATTTTGTGAGATTCATGGGTGGAACTATGATTATGCTTCGCAGTGTATATTCTAGTGGAAAGGGGTTTCATGAAGTCGTGGAAGAATGATTGTTGCATTTAGTTATGGAAATGGTTTGTTTCTTTTCCACGTTTAACTTACTTGGCAGCAAATTCACTATGTTGGATGAAAAGTTGTTTTGCGCTGATCGGTTGGTTAAGAAGCATCTCGGCCAATCGTTTGGCATTCCGCGAAAAGCTGAAATCAGGAACACTTTTGTAGTGTCAGACAGCATCTTATTTATTTACTCAGCACGCGGCTTTGCGTCCACTTAAAAGAGTTTTCTCAAATAGTTATAGTCTCAGTAGAATTTGTGGGAGATTATAAAGGGAAACAAAACCTGGCATCACTAAGAAGAGTCTTCAAGGAATCTGCGAGTTTCCGTGGACTCTCGAGATCGCTCTTCTTCAAAACAATACCTCCGCCATGCTTTGCCAACATATGCGCATTGCGAGTTTGATCAGAAAAGAGAGGAATCTCAAAATACAAGAAATTATAGGTAGCAGAGGCAGGAAAATCATGGGTGGGGGAGGTTGAATTGTATCAAAACAACTTACAAGCAATGCTGGCTTTCCCATATGAGCAAGCTCCGTCGTGCTGCCTAGACCTCCATGAGTAATGAAGACAGAAAGACGAGGATCCGCTGGAATCCACTTTCATTCATGCTCTATCGCTTCATCTTTGGTAACCAAGTCAAGTACTCACCTAGAAGAGCGTTTTGAGGTACCCACGAGCTGAGGTGAACATTATCGAGGTGAGCCGCCAATTTTGAATCTTCTTCTTCGAACTTCCAAATAAAAGTCGTATTTGGCATGTTTTCAAATACCTCGAGGAGAGTCTTTCTAAATGCTTCTGATCTTGTGAAGAATGTGAAACAAGTACTTTCCCAAATTCACTACGGGCGAAAGTTAGCCTACGACGAAAAGGCATGGTCCATCTACAGCCATGGTTGACCTAATAAAAAAGTAGCTCGAATGAGAAGGCCAGGAAAGAACCGTGGACAGGTGTTGTATAAGTTTTGCGTAAATATGAGAGAAAGGGTTTAATCATAAAACGGCTGCCGCTTTGCGCACATTCGCATTCGCGCTTGTCAGCCAACCTGTATATGCATTGGCAGCTCTGAGAAGTCAAATTTATAATGAACTGTCCAAGTACATAGCACGGCAGAATTGCTAGCTTGAAACGAATAGCACTAGAATCTGGTTCTGCTTCTCTCCATGCACGCTTAACCCGTTCGTCGTGAGAGGAGCGCTAGGTTAAAACCAAATGACCTACTTGTATTCATCTGGCATGAGGACAGATTTTGCCATTGATCCAAAAGATACCAGAACTGTAGAGTTTCTCTGGTCCATGATGCTGTCCCATTCCTGCAAAACAGTTCCGCGTTTCTGAAAACATTCTCAGATTTGAGAGGTACCTTTGATAAAGCGTTCTTTTTGGGATCGAACGATACGGCGATTCCCCCGATCGGGATCGTTTTGTGAAGCATTGGACGTGGATAATCAAGGTAGGGATTCGAATTTGTAAACGCATAAGAGGCGTCAGCTAATAACTCCTGAATCGAAATGTTAGAATTCGTTGCTGTTTGTTCAATGTTTCACAGAAGAAAGATACCAAGATATGATTGTCTCCGCCTAGATGGTAGAAACTATTTTTAACACATTGACGACCGCGTGAGACACATTGAATGCACGCGTTGTAGGCCATGTGGGACAGCGTGCATACTATACAACTCACGATCAACAAATCCATATCTTTCAACAGTGCATGGTTTTTTAGTTAGTTTCTCTTAATCATTGTATAGTTCAGACCCTGGTGTACTCGTACTATGCGTAGTCCATGGAATAATTCAGTACACACTAGTTTAGCAAATACTTTTTGGGTAAAGATCACCATTTGCTCGACTGATTTGTTTCAACACATGCGAAATGGTTTGCTCTTCCAAACACTTAGCTGAGAAATGCTGATCGATACAATGTTGATAATGGTCAAAATTATAGGGTGAAGGATTCTGAACGCTATAGAGGGCACGACACCTTTTTTATGAAAACATTGGTTGCGGACGAATTTCTGGCATCTAGTGCAACGAGAGTTAGCCAGCCAGGTTTTTTCTATACTGAAGTATTAACTTACTTCATAACTGCGCTCTAATCCAGTTTTCCGATCCAATTTCCAAAAAAGCGCCTCGTGGGATCGTCTGAACTATGTGTGTACCGCGCTGGTTGCGTTCGAGAAAACGCGCGTGTCCCACGCGGCCAAAAAGTAAAAACGCGCATGTCGTCAACGTGTTAAGCTATAATCCGAATCTTAGTGGAAGAAGAAAAGGATAGTGAGTTTGGCAAAAAGGTAGTGATGCCAGGGTGCCGCTTCCCAACTCCGCCCGCGCCGCTGCACGGCTGGTCACACTCCTAACCGCAAGTGCCGCGCCTTGAGGACAGAGTGGGAGAATTGCGAGACTTCATCACTACCCCGTGGCCTCGTTCTGGTGCACTTTCGAGCATAGCTAGTTGAGCGTTACTGCAGGTACAGACGTATTCACCTCGCTCATGGCAAGGATCGCCCAGCGAAGTGCACAATTTGTCTTTATTCTCTTGTCTTGTCTTTTTTTGCCTTTGTTTAGAACCCATACCTCATAGCGGGGCAGTTCGGAGACGCGAGAGGGCATTCTCCACTTTTGCTACCCATTTAGTAGCATCTTCTCTAGTTGACAAGTTCTAACATGAAAGCTTGACGGCTGGCTCCAGCTCCACAAGGGTTCACAGGAATCACCAGGGTGGGACTTGTAAACCGGAACTGGTGAACAACGAAAATGTCAAATACCCCTCTGCCGCCGAGCTGCGCCCCTCACAGCTCTTGCTCAAGGAAGTGTGTTTCGGAAAGTAAGAGAGGCTAGTTCCTATCTTCGCATAGAAGAGGCTGAACTGATGGCCGACCCACCTCATAGCCTTTAAACTGTGGTCCGAACTTCGCTCTAAAAGCCGCGATTTCAGCAGCGAAGACATTGCTGTAGAAAGCCTCTGCTAGCACTACGCTGACCACGTTTTTGAATCGTTCGTAAATGTTCATGTTGTCACCACTGGTGGCCATCGGACCTGAAATGGAGAAGGTTATTGGGACTGTGGAACGACTAGAAAAAAAAATGCTTTTTCATGTTTTAGTCCCTTCCAGATGCACCACGCCTTTTTCAGAATCGTAAAAGGATTCGGATGTTAATTTTGCTTGCATCACTAACACATCATGAACATGATCGAAATTCCACTAATCTTTTTTTTTTCTTTTCCCCTGGTCAGCTGG